GTGAGTTCAAGTCCAGTTGGAACTGCACAGTGAAACACTGTCTCAAAAAGGAAAAAAAGAGAGAGAGAATAGGTTAAGTAAAAGATTCATTGTCTCAAGTTGGAATCAAAAGAACAGTGTCAATATGAAATTATATTTTATGATGTATTCTTTAGCCCTGTTAAGTGAAAAGACCAGAAAGAAAATGACCATTCCTACCACCATCTTGAAATTAGGAGAATCTAAGAAAAGCCAAGGCTTCCTGCAGAAATGACTGATTGGCAACCAGAAAGCCATCAAGACTACTAGGGTCAGTTAAACAAGGTCTGCGTGCACTAGTGTGTGAAGTAAGGGGCTGGGAAATTACCATGTAGGAGACAGGACATTAGTAAGTTAAGAGAGTGGATCAGAGTGCGGAACATTCATAAGAGTCAAGCCCACACCCATTTTGTTTGTTTGGTTTGGTTTTTTTCCAGTACCGGGAATCAAACTTACAACCTTTTGCTTGTCAGGCAGGTGCTGTGCCACTGAGCTAAATCCCCAGCCCCCTGCGTACCCTTTGATACTACATTTGTTAGGATGAGAGAAACAGCATCACTGGATCATCCCTTGGCTGCCTCTATCCCCATACCAGTCTTCCAAGTGGAGAGGTCGTTCTGATCTAAAAAGTAGCCCCTGTAAAGAAGCAAAGTATGTGGACGTGATGTCACCTCCCTGCTGAAAATCCAGTACCTAACTGAGTTGTGAGGACCGCTTTACCTAGATGCATGCAGTCACCCAGCAGTAGATTCAGATAGGCAAGCATTTGCTGTACAGAAACCCAGGGTATTTTGTATGCTCCTCCCTTCCGTTCCTCCCTCCCTCTCGTCTTCTTTTCTTTTTCTCTTTCTATTTATTACTTTACGTATTCATACACACTCATTACAGAGTGCCCTGAAAGCCTCCAGCCGGGCATCTACGCTGTGAGAAATGTGAAACACTGAAGCCACGATCCTTGCCTATGAAGTTTACAAAGGAGGAGGATACGGCACACAAAATCCAGATCCCAACGTTATAACCTAAACAACCTGGTGCAAACCACATAAAAGCAAGAGTATTTTAAAGTCTTGGAAAAGTTGCGTCTTAGCTAAGGCCTTCCAGGCAGTTTACTGGATGCACTGAAGCACTCTGAGAGACTCCGCAGCTGTGCCGTGGTAAGGAGCTGGGAAGGACAGGGGCAGATAAGAGCAGGATGGATCCTGTGATCATGCAGGAGAGAAAGTAGGCAAAGAGGCAGAAGGAAGTAACCAGTGTTTGAAACAACCCCAGACACGCTCCGCCACCCCATCTTTGACAAAGGGGCCAAACACATTCACTGGGAGAAAGACAGCCTCTTAAATAAATGGTGCTGGAAAAACTGGCCCTGCACATGCCAAAGATTAAAATTAGACCCATGTCTTTCCCCATACACTAAACTAAATTTGAAAAGGATCAAAGATCTAAATATTAAAACAGAAACATTACATTGAATATATCAATATGTAATACAATAAGCATTGTTAATTCCCTACCATTCTGTTTGTAACTCTGTAATGTCTGTACTGATCCTTTGCTATTTCGTAACACGTTGTCGATCTGTTAGTATTTTCCTCCTTTTATTTCTAAAATAAATAAATAAATAAATAAATAAAACAGAAACATTAATTCTGCTGGAAGATGGATAGATAGAACTCTTTTTTTTTTTTTGTTTTTTGGTTTTTCTCCGGTACCGGGAACCGAACTCAGGACCTTGTGCTTGCCAGGCAGGCGCTTTGCCACTGAGCTAAATCCCCAGCTCCAGTAGATAGAACTCTTGAACACACTGGTGTAGGCAAGGACTTTATTAATAAAACTCTGCTCACATAGGAACTCTCGCAAAGAATCGACAGCTGGGATCTCATCTTATTAAAACGCTTTTGCACAGCAAGAGAAACCACCAACAGAGTAAAGAGACAACCCACAGTGTAGAGAAAAATTGTTTGCTGGCTGTTCCTCAGAGAAAGGATATCAAGAACATATAAAAAAAAAAAAAACCTCAAAAAAACAGACCCCCAAAATTTAAAGGCCCAATCCAAAAATGAATATCTGAGATGAATACACACTTCTCAGATAAAGAACTACAAACAGCAAATATTCAATCACTGGTCATTCAAGAGATGCCAGTCAAAATAACATTGATTCCATCTCACCCAGGAAAGAATGGCTATTATCAAGAAATCAACAAATAACTAATGCTGGCAAGATGCGAGGGGACAGGAACCTTCTCCACCGTCGGTGGGAGTGTAGACTGATGAGACCACTGTAGAAATCAGTGTGGACGTTCCTCAAAAAATTAGGACTAGCAGTTCCATTTGACCCAGCCATTCCCCTTCTGAGTATCTTACCAAAAGAATTAAAAACATTGTACCACAGTGATACATGCACACCTATGTTTATACTAGCACAGTTTGTAAACGTCTAATCTTGGAAACAACCCAAGTGCCTATTAGCTGGTGAATAAATAAAGAAGATATGGGGCTTTTATACAATGGAGTACTACTCTGGCATAAAGGAGGATATACTGGAGATATTTCTAGGAAAACGGATGCACCTTGAGTCCATACTCTTAAGTGAAATAAATCAGACACATGTGTACATACCTCACTGTTTCTCTGGTGTGAAAACTGAAAGTGTAAATAAGGACCAAAATGTACAATAGGTATTGTGAAATAGGAAGAAAATGTTCAACTCAAGGGGAACAAGGGAAAGGGGAGAGGGAAAGGAAAGAAGGGAAAAGTTTTTAAAAAGAGAGAAAAGAAGGAAAGCATGAAAACAAAGCTTTTGTAAATGAGGACGGGAAGAGGGGTTGAAGTCAGGATAGGGGATGGGGAAAAAACAAGTTATATCATGTACAGGTACACGTTCTCTATGATGAATGTGATCATTATGTAAATCTAAAATGTACCAATAAAATCTGATTTTTAAAAAAAGGAAGAAAGTAACCAGTGTTTAGCATGCACCTGACATATACTGGGCCCTACCAGAACCTGTTTACAACATCGAATCTTCCCAGCAGTCTTCTGATAGACTACCTCTAATTCACAGATGAGAAGACCAACATGGAGGTGAAGTAGTTGATTATCATTATTCACATACGCCATATTTGTGACTTTACTTACTAAAATTTATTTGTACCCCAAAATCAACACTTTCAACCCTTCCCAATGCAACTCCAAATATTGAGTTGCCCAACATGCTTGTCCTAGCTGAAGTGGAACGGGGCAACAGTGTTCTGTCTTCTTTTTTCAGTTCTCAGAACATGGACAAGCGCCTTTTCCACAGTCTAGGTCATGCCAACCGGTTTGGGTCTTTGTGCCTTGCACCGGTGATTCACTGCTTTAAATGATCCTTGAATGTGGTGCTGAAGTGCCAGTCTTGAGGTGCAAGAAGGCAGGGAGGGGCCTGAGGAAGAAAATACCAGTGTTAGGTGAGCGTTGTTTGGGCCTGAGTTATTGTGCAGTTGGCTGTGTGCTCAGGATCAATGAATCAACTACATCTACAGAATAAGGTGTCTTTAAACAGAAGCATGTGAGACATTGTCAGGTATTGATTGGCTGACACAAATAGTGTGACCAGACAATCACAAGAACGTAATCGTGTATTTCACCAGATGCAGTGGTTCAATAGTCACTCATTCAGCAGTCAGGCCAACTGTATGACATTTAAGCGATAGGAGTAATGAAAGTAATTTGCTATGCTTCACTCAAGATCACAGATCTGGGATTAGAAACTTGCTCTTTGTTACTCCAGAACCAGTCTTTCCACCTTCTCTGGAAAACAAAGCTCCTTGCAGCTCATCCCAAAGTAAATATTTTGCTGTGAATCTATAAATACACTGGACAGCAGTCTCCAGGAAATATCATTTTCAAAGTTGTGGTCCAAAAGAGGGTTTTACATTTTTTTCTTCATTTAAAAATCAAAAAGATAAAAACATATCAGTTGGGCAGGAATGACTTCTTTTTCTCCCTCTGCCTTTCAACATCATTGCTGAAATGTGCTCAGAAGTTTGCAGGTCTCAAAGGTATTTTCCAGTGAGTTCAAAGATGGCTGCCTCTGCTTGGTAGCTGCAGTGGTGGAGACATATTGCTTGGAAGCCATATTGCTTGGTAGCCATATTGCTTGGTAGCTGCAGTGGTGCGCCACCCTTTGCAAATGAATTGACATTGCAGTTCAGTTTGTGTCAGTGACACTGTGGTCTGCATGATACTGGGCCACCTCACCTGGTTCTCATTCTCTGGGTATAAGAATGCGGTTTTTACATAGGACCAGAAGACCAAGACAGGCAAACTGCATCAATTCACAGAGGCCATTAGTCCACAAGAAATGGCTGCGCATCCATACACAGCAGAACACGGGGTAGAAATCCAAGAGAGAGTTAATCCTGAAAGTGTCCTTCACTCCCAGACTAGGCCAAACTATGCCATTTCTTTTCTTTTTTCAGCAGATCTAGCTTTGCAACACAACCTTCAGTGGTACAAAAGTGTAACTGTGTATTGTTGAGTCTGAGGAATGTATATGGAAAACTTACCAGTAGGAAGAGGATATTAATGCATCCACACCCTACGATGCAATTTCATGCTTTTATAAGTTTAATGTCCTTACAATTAAGTCCAACGTTTGCTATAATTCTTTTCTCAGAAAGGGCATTCTAATATGCTAGTTAAGGAGCCTATTTTCTCCCGTTAGCCATTATAAGCTAATTTTGCTGCTAAGATCATGCTGGGAGTTATCTAGAGGTATAAAAGAAAATCAAGACCAGTAGCAAATGTCTGCTCTGAATAACAAAGGTACCATTAAATACTTCACGTCCCTCAGCAATCACGTGCTTGCGCACACACAACACACACAGCATAGAATTTTATTTCAGAAATAAATAGGAGATTCAATATTTTTAATAAATTGAGAGGTGAATTAAGCTGAAATCACATACGTGTTCCCCAAAAGGTTTATGGGTACTTACTTAGCAAAGGCAAAAGAGGTCATCTTCTGCTGTAAGAGAGTTGCTCCATCCTTTGAGGATCTCAGTTTAGTCATTGATTTGTATTCTTTCAGTTTGTCACTGAGGACTTATCATGTGACTGTTGGGAGACACAGAGTCCTTCTTCAATCTGTACTATAGTTGACATGTAATGGCAAGTGACCATAGCCAAATACAAGAACTGCAGAGATTATCCATAGGATGTCCATTCATGTTAGTGTGGGGTGTGTGTGTGTGAGTGTGTGTGGTTCTAGGGACTGAAACCAGGGCCTTGGCACAGAGCTACATCCCCAGTAGCCCCCTTTTGCTTTTTATTAAGACAGATTCTTGCTAAGTCACTAAGATGTTCTGGATTAGGTTAAAACTTGTGATCCTCCTGCCTCAGCTTCTCGGAGTGCTTGGATTACAGGCACATGAAACCAAACTCAGCTAGGATGTCTCCTCAGAAGTGATAGAATTCATGATTCTCCATAATGGAAGATCCAATTAGGAAGTTACTTTTATTTTTTAAAAGAAAATTTTTAGTTAAATAAAACAGCTGCAGAACACAAAGCAGCATTCCTATAGCTAAAGCATGAGTGAAAGAGGCAGCTCAGGCAGAGTATGGCTCATGGGTAGACCATTTGCCTGGTATACATGAGGCCCTGGGTTCTACCCCCAAACTTTCACAAGCCAGTTCAATGAGGATCAGACTCAGAAAGGCACCCAGAAATATATAAAGCCATCCCAGGTTATATGATATAATAATGACACCTAATAGTTAATTCAAGTTTATGCAGAGTAAGAGGAAATGGGGACTGATATTTTTCCACATACTAAACGTTTAAAAGGAGGGAGAAATATGTGAGTTTGGAAGGGTAGAGGATAGCCTGGGAGGGTCAGGGGCTCACAGGAGAACAACCTAGATGACATCACACCGGAAATGGTGTCCTAGCCACACTGACTAAGATGTCCTCTGGCTCTTTATCAAGAAAGACTAGAAACCTTCTAGTCTTTTTTTCATTTTCTTTTTTTATATTCTTTGTTATTCTTAATTATACTTTAGTGTAATTAGTGTAATTAAGTGTAATTTCTTTTTTTAATGTTCTTTTTTTATATTCTTTGTTATACTTAATTACACTTTAGTATGTGTGGTGGTGTGTATGTGGGGGGTGTAAAGTAAACCACAAAGGATTTTAATTTCTTACTGTGGGATCTGTCACACTCAGATAATCCTTCCTGCTTCTTCAGGGTCCTAAGGTTAAAACTTATCAGATTCTGTTATAAGTAACTACTTGCCCTGAAGGTACCTGAAGTTCCTGATGATTACTAACACCTCCTTTCTAAGAAAACCCACACAGCCATAATATCAAAAGAGATGGCTCCCTGTTGGTCTGGACTAATCATGGTATATATGATGTCAAAAGCCAAAGTAACGAATGAAAAATGGGGCTGGGGATTTAGCTCAGCGGCAAAAGGGCCTGCCTGGCAAGCGCAACGTCGTGAGTTTGGTTCCCGGTACCAGAGAAAAACCAAAAAAAAAAAAGAAAAAGATAGATCAATTAACCTTCACCAAAATTTAAAACTTTTGTACTTCAAAGGATAACACCAAGAAAGTTAAAAGCCCACAGAATGGGAGAAAATATTTACAAATCATTATTTTTTCATGTCTACATCTTGTAATCGGAGCAACTACTTTGAAGACAGCAATATGCAATACATTAATCATTGTTCATTTCTTATTATCCTGTTTCAAAACACTATCATTGTTTTTATTTCTTTTTTATCTTCTCTCTTTAAAATGAAAAATTAAACAAGGAAAATACTTACAAATCTTACGTCTAATAGACTTGAATCTAGAACGTAGAAAGAACTCTTACAATTCAACAAAATAACCTGAATTTAAAATAGACAAAAGAGTTGAATAAATATTTCTCCAAAGAAGATATCTAGATGGACAATTAGCACATGAAAAGATGCTCAACATCATTATTTATTAGGGAAATACAAATACAAATCACTGCATACTTACTAGGATGACTATAATAAAAAAGACAATAACAAGTGTTGACAAGAACATGGAAAAATTTAAGCTGTGACACATTAATGGTGAGAATGGAAAATGATGCAATCATAAACAGTCTGACAGTTCCTCAAAAAGTTAAACACAGATTCCTTAAGACACAACAATTTCACTCCTTGGTAAACACCCAAAAGAATTGAAAACAAATGTCCACGAAAGAAACAAAAACTTGTATATGAGAATTTCTTAGCAGGATTTTTCATAATTTTTAACTATAAAGACAAAACAAAAGCCCCCTGTTTGATGATGGATAAAATAAATGTGGTTGTAATAGACTAAATTATGGCCCCCAACCTCTGCAGGCCCTAATCCCTGAAAGCTGAGGTTGTTACTTTATGTGGTGAAAAGACTGCACAGATGTGACTAGTTAAGCATCTTGATATGGGAAGAGGACTCTCTTTGGTTATCCAGGAGAATCCAGTGTAATCTGAGGAGTCCTTCTAGGACGGAGGTAGAGGAATTCTGGAGCAGAGAGCAGAGAGCAGAGAGCAATGTGACCACTGAAGCAAAACACCGCACTGTTGGCTTGGGAGATGAAGAGAGGAGTCACAACCCGAGGAATGTCAGGAGTCACCAGGAACTGGAAAATGCAAAGAAATGGACTCTTTCCCCTGGAGCTTCCGGAGCAAGGGTAGCCCTACTGACACCTTGACTTCATCCCAGTGAAACTGATTTCAGACTTCCAAATTCCAGGACTATCAGAGAATACATGTGTGGTTTTCAGCTACCAATTTTGTGGTCATTTGTTATAGTGATCATAGAAACTAACACAGTGGTACATCAATACATTGGAATACTATTCAGCCACGAGGAGAAATAATGAGGACATGCATACATGCTACATATACTGTGGATCAATCTTGAAAGCATTATGCTGAGAGGAACCAGACTCAAGAGGCCACACGTTACATGACCTCACTTTGATAACAGACAGAGACAGAAAGTAAACTGGTGGTTGCCAGGGGTTGGGGGAGAAAAAGTATAAGGTTTCCTTTCAGGTTGATAAAAATATTCTGGAATAAAGTCATGGTGATCCACTGCACTGCTTTGGTCTAAATATACTAAAATGCTACACATAATAAATTTCTACTAAATTGTATGTCTTTTTAAAAGTGAATTTGGGTTAACATCCTCCAGGCCCTGGGTCCCATCCCCCACACTACACACACACACACACACACACACACACCCCTTGATAGTTTCGAACTGTTAATAAAACATAAAAAGAAGTCAATTTGCTGCACCAAGATCAACAAAACAGAAATTAATTACCAAAGATTAAGTGCACTAACTGAACCGATTGCTACAATTAATATTTTATATAAGTGTACATTAGAAAAAAATAGTCGTTAGGAGGTCTAAACATGGGGAAGGAGATCACAGGGAGAAAGATTAAAGGGAAAGGGAAACAGGGATGAAAATAACCAAAATATGGCATACACTGGTACCAATAAACCATAAAGAGTAAAAAGTCTCAGTGTCTGTACTACTAACATGCACCCACAAAATAAAATTACCCCAAAAGAAAAATAGTTTTTAATCTACCTTTCACCCTAAATTTAACAAGTTATACCTACTCATACGCTGGGAATGAAACATTCTTTATATGGGATCTTCTGCGAACTGACCTGTTACCACTCAAAAGAAAACAATTCTGTGAAAGGTCTTATTTCATGAGATATAAATCATAAGCTAACAAATAAACTGATATAACTTACCTAACTCTGGGAGAAATATTTATGACCACATTTTATTCTTACTAAAATATAATTGGATATTATATGTGCCAAAAATCCCATTTAATTGTATAGATATGGTAAACTCACAATTAGAAAATGAAGACTACATTTTACAGGGGGGAAGGGCAGTGTCCACAAAGGCTTCCCAGGAACACTTGCCCATTCTATGGCTTATGACGTGTCAGCCTCACAAACAGCAAGGAATTCTGTTTCTGGCAGGCCAGGAATGTTCACAAATATGAGAATCTTAGAGAAAATAGTGCGGATAACAATGAAAATATTTCTTCTCACAGATAAAAGTGACTTACACCTCCAAGGGTTCTATAAAACCTCCAGACAGAAGTTAATTCTAAAGTTTTAACATTACATGGTTCTAACTCTGTTGGCCATGCAGATTAAAGATATTTATCCATGAGACAATACTTCCTATCATACCTATGTAAATAACCAAATAAAGAGGATATCAAACAAGTCATGATAATTTCATTCTTCTTACGATACCTGATAAATGCATAGATATATTAACAAAACTTTATCAGGGGATGAGGTCAGTATAGAAAGGATATTTTTGCTAACGAAAAGAGACACAGAAATTCCTCTGTTCTGTTAACATTATCTGGCAGTGATGACCAGATCTGTTGTAATCATTTTGCAGCCATGAAGACAAGCCAGGACACTGACTGGTGTGAACCTGGGCCCTTACATTATTGAACCTTGGGTTTTTAATGATGTCTTTAGTCCATGAATTAGTCAAACCTAGATTCTCTGTCTGTCTCTGTCTCTGTCTCTGTCTCTGTCTGTCTCTCTCTCTGTCTCTCTGTCTCTCTCTGTCTCTCTCTGTCTCTCTGTCTCTCTCTGTCCTCCATTTTCTTTTTTGTTTAAGCCAACTGAATTAGAGATTTTTATTTATGGTACTTGCGGCCAAAACCAACCTTATTCTTAACTATTAATATTCTATTTTGGATTAACTATTATTAATATTAATATTTTTGTGCAAAGAATAATCAAACCAGGTGCATAGTGCCAACAATGTAAAGTGTCCTTGACATCACACTTGCTCTCAGAGAATATATAGATATGGATAGATATAAATCTAGATATAGATATAAAAAGACACATATGTAGAGAGTGAGTGTTGTAGGTTACACACATGGCATCAAAATAGTGTAGATCAAAAGATAGCCCCAGATCTAGGTAAAAAAGACATCCCATGTAGCCATGGGAGAGGGTAGAGGTGAGATAAACTAACAATGCTTCTGAGGGCTGTGGTTAGAGGGAAAATTCTTCAGATGAGAAAAGTCATGACACAGGCAAGCATCTTCAGAAACACACAGTGCTTTAACCTATGCCAAGTGGCAAGGAATTCCATCTCTGTAATCAATGATAGCATGGAATACTCCAAAGCCTAACGTTCCTACATGATGTAAAAAGTTACACTCTTCAAAACGGCCTACTGCATGTTAGTGCCCAGTGGCAAGAATGTGGGTAGTAGAGGGGCGTGACTCTTGGAGACATCCACACATACGTACCACTTTTATATATTAAATTGAAAAGTGCAGTGGTGCAGAGGTACAAGAATGTATCTAATTAAAAGCACTATCTTAAGGCTATGTCTCAACACACAAATGACCTTGTTTTACATGATGTAGTCATTTCTTGTAACATGAAAAACCCTAGCAATTCTTTTATTTGTAGGTAACAAATTCTTTCTCACTTTATTTCAAAGAAATAATTTCTTTTCCTACTAGAAAGATACATTAAAGATTATCTGATCAAATTAGTCACTTCACAACTTCACACATAAAGAAAAAAGAACGAGAAGGGTCTTGTGATTTTCAGGATCTCAAGACAGCACTGGAACCTCGCTAGATTTTTTTTCCCTCCTAACCTGGAGCTCTTTCCACCATCTTCACCTTTCCTCACCAAATATACTTTTGTTCCCAATAAACCTAATTCTATGTGTTCTGCCAACAACTCAGCTTGTAAATATTATTCTGAATTTGAGTCTTCTATTCTAAGATGCTATCCTACTTCTAAACCACTGAGAACTGATTTGGTTTCCAGATGTCTCCCTTCCCCCTGCACAACTCCACCCGCCCTCTTTTTCTCCTCCCTGTTCTCTGACAGTGATAGAACAAAGAATAAGGCCCTGACAACAACAAAAGAGGTAAACGGAACAAAAGCTGTATCTATAATGAAGTCTGTATTCTCTTTGTTCACCTCTCAGAATGTCAAGGTGCTAAAAACAAATTTAGAAGATTCTAAACCAGTTCTAATATTAAACATATCCACAGCAATTATCACTATAGAGAGTTGTTCTTAACACTCATTTTATTATCAGGGCATTAATTTTCTATTTCCATAGAGATTAGACAAACCATGTTTACATAATGTGGACAACAAACCTAATCATATTCTAATAAGTGTTCCAACAGAACTCATGGAATTAATGAAGCTATTTACTTTTCGCTAAAATCTAAGGATCTCTACAAACTTCCTGCAGTACGAAACCCGACCTTAAAAAATGCAAATTTTATGCACACGGCTATATTGTTGGAGTGGAAAAGCTTCCATTTCAATGTTCCAGTGAATTGATCCCGCAATCTCATTTCCAGTTGATCCAAAAAATTAATACAGAAAGCCATGCTGCCTGTTGGAGCCAGGAAGGCAACCTCACATTATAGGACAACCAAGTGCAGCAATCTCTGAGAAATGTTCCAAAAGCTTCATTTTTAAACGATTGCTTAACATAGATGACTACTGTTAGAGCTTGACAACCTCAGCTATGCAGAGATCTGAATTGTTGAATTAGACTGAATCTGCATAATTTCAATGGAATGATACACTTAAGCTTTCTCCATCAGAATCAATTAATGTGCTCAGTTCTTTTGAGTTCTGACATCACATTATAGTCTCTTTATGTGTAAATATATTTAGGAATGAATAAAATGCCACTTCCAAATAAGCTTATTCAGTTTTTAATTAAATTTCTCAGAGCAGTTTACCAACCTTGGCATTTACACATAAAACACAGATAATTATGTAAGGATTCTTAAGAGATTTGCTCAGAATGTGTCAAGTTAAGCAGCATAATACGAGAGAAAGGGCAGAACAAAAACTCTAGCATAGTCTTATTCACATTTTGGCCCTGGGAACAAAAACAGTATAGCAGAGCAGAGCCCAGCAAAAGTGATTCATGCTTCTCAGACGGAAGGGGCAAGGGAACAGGAAGGAGCCCTCCAGGGAGACAGGTCCCGTGGAAACAAGGCCGGGACTGGCAGGATGGAAGGGGAAGGGCAGAGCGGGAAGCAGAGCGAGATGGCGGGGGAGGGAGGGTTTGAACAGAGACAAGGAGACAGAGAAATAAAGTAACGCTGACACTGTGTGGTCCAAAAGACCAAAGCACAGCACTTGATAAATCCCATTCCTCTGACTAGAAATGTAATCTGAGTTCTGGATCTGTATCCACAAAGTCAGAAAATAACAAGTATTAAAAGGTGTTTCCAAGGGCAGGTTCTTTTTTCCCTAAATACTGAGGGGTTCATTAAAAAGAAAATTGTGTGTATTTAAGGTAGACAAGATGCTTTAATATGGACACACATTGTGAAAAGATTACCACAAAGTAACCAGCACATCCATTACCTCACATAGTTACCATTTGTGTGCGGGCATGTGGACACCTGGGATCAGCTCTCGGCAAACTTCAGGCACACAGTCCAGTGTTATTAACAATATTCACCATGCTGAACATTAAGTCTCCGAGAACTTGCTCATCCTGCATAGCTGAATTTTTGTCCCCTTTGACCAACATCTACCCATTTCCTCTACGTCCAGCACCTGGAACCCAATGTTCTACTGTCTACTTAACTTTTTTTAAGTACTGTTCAAATACATATATCTGTATCTATATATTTCAATATATCGATCAGATTTTTCTATTCATCTGTTAAGGGGCACATGGGTGGTTTCCAAATCTTGGCTCTTGGGAATGCTACTGATGCTGCAATGAACATATAAGAGTGCAGACATTTCTTCAGGATACTGTTTTCATGTCCTTTGGATATATACCCAGTAGTGGGACTGTTGGATCACATGGTAGTTCCAGTTCTTAATTTTTTTAGGAACCTCCATTCTATTTTTCATAATGGCTTACTGTTTCCATTCCCACCATTGTGAAAGGGTTCCGATTTCTTCACATCCTCATCTTACTTCTGACTTTGCAGTAATAGCCCTCCTAAGAGGTGTGAGGTGGTATCTTGTTGTGGCTTTAGTGTGCGTTTCTCGAATGACTCATGCGGCTGAGCACTTCTCATATGCTTGTTGTCTGTCTTCCTATAAGTAAAGTCTACTCAAGTCCTTTGTCCCGCTAATTGGATTATTCATTTCCCTGCTACAGAGTTGAGTTTCTTATACATTTTGAATATTAACTTCTCATCAGATATGATTTGCAAATATTTTTCCCACTCTTTAGTTTACTTTTTCACTCTTGGTTTACTTTGCTGTGCAGCTTTTCAGTTTGGTATCTTATGTATTTTTGCTTTTGTTGTCTGTGCTTTGGGATCACATCCAAAAAAATCATTACCAAGATAAATGTTCATATTTTCTTATAGAATTTTTCACAGTTTCATGTCTTTTGTGTAAGTCTTTAATACATTTGAGTTCAATTTTTTGTATCTGGTATGAGATATAGGTCTAATTTCATTTTTCTGCATAAGGATATCCAGTTTTACAAACACCTTCTTGTGTATTCTGGACATATTTGTCAAAGATTAATTGATTGTAGAGGTGTGGGTTTATTTCTAGGCTCTCTATTGCACTCCATGGACTTCCATGCCGTTTTGATGATAGCACCACACTATTTTGAGTATAATTAAATAACATAAGGTATAGTTATGCTAGTTGAACTTCATAAAAATGTCTCCTTGTGTATGCAGTCTTCTACGGCTAATTTTTCTTACTCAACATTCTAGTACTAAGACTTATCCAAGCTCATTCTTTTCCACTACTCTGTGTATAAGCTGCACTGAACATTGTTCTACATTTCATGATGCTTGCAAAAGTAAGATATATACTAACTGCTCTGTCATAGGACATACAAATTTATAATACATGGCTCCTTTGTGTCTGGCTTTTTTCATTCAAC